TCGCATTTTTTTATAAGACAAAAAAAATTGATACGAATCGTTCGTTTATCCAAGTAATTTGTTGAATAAGATTAGAGGGGTAAGTACCTGAAAAATGAGAACAAATTGTCATTGCACTTGGACAATTTTCTGACACTGATTTATGATATTAATCGATATTCCGGTTTTCGGTACTAATTTACTCTTTCATTCCTCTATAAGAAAACAAAAAATTAATACGAATCGTTCATTAATCCGCGTTAATTTGATGAAAAATTAGGTATTGATCGGTCTTCAGTTTTCGGTACTGATTTATTTTCGAATTTTTTTATAAGACAAAAAAAATTGATACGAATCGTTCGTTTATCCAAGTAATTTGTTGAATAAGATTAGAGGGGTAAGTACCTGAAAAATGAGAACAAATTGTCATTGCACTTGGACAATTTTCTGTCACTGTTTTATGATATTAATCGATATTCTGGTTTTCGGTACTGATTTACTTTTTCATTTGTCTATAAGAAAACAAAAAATTGATACGAATCGTTCGTTTATCCAAGTAATTTGTTGAATAAGATTAGAGGGGTAAGTACCTGAAAAATGAGAACAAATTGTCATTGCACTTGGACAATTCTCTGACACTGATTTATGATATTAATCGATATTCCGGTTTTCGGTACTAATTTACTTTTTCATTCCTCTATAAGAAAACAAAAAATTAATACGAATCGTTATTTAATCCGCGTTAATTTGATGAAAAAATTAAGTATTGAATCGGTCTTCAGTTTTCGGTACTGATTTATTTCCGCATTTTTCTATAAGACAAAAAAAATTGATACGAATCGTTTGTTTATCTGAGGTAATTTGTTGAATAAAAATAGAGGGGTAAGTATTTGAAAAATGAGAACAAATTGTCACTGCACTTGGACAATTTTCTGACACTGATTTATGGTATTAATCGATATTCCGGTTTTCGGTACTGATTTACTTTTTCATTTGTCTATAAGAAAACAAAAAATTGATACGAATCGTTCGTTTATCCAAGTAATTTGTTGAATAAGATTAGAGGGGTAAGTACCTGAAAAATGAGAACAAATTGTCATTGCACTTGGACAATTTTCTGACACTGATTTATGATATTAATCGATATTCCGGTTTTCGGTACTAATTTACTTTTTCATTCCTCTATAAGAAAACAAAAAATTAATACGAATCGTTCATTAATCCGCGTTAATTTGATGAAAAAATTAAGTATTGAATCGGTCTTCAGTTTTCGGTACTGATTTATTTCCGCATTTTTCTATAAGACAAAAAAAATTGATACGAATCGTTTGTTTATCTGAGGTAATTTGTTGAATAAAAATAGAGGGGTAAGTATTTGAAAAATGAGAACAAATTGTCACTGCACTTGGACAATTTTCTGACACTGATTTATGGTATTAATCGATATTCCGGTTTTCGGTACTGATTTACTTTTTCATTTCTCTATAAGAAAACAAAAAATTGATACGAATCGTTCGTTTATCCAAGTAATTTGTTGAATAAGATTAGAGGGGTAAGTACCTGAAAAATGAGAACAAATTGTCATTGCACTTGGACAATTTTCTGACACTGATTTATGATATTAATCGATATTCCGGTTTTCGGTACTAATTTACTTTTTCATTCCTCTATAAGAAAACAAAAAATTAATACGAATCATTCATTCATCCGCGTTAATTTGATGAATAAATTAGTTATTAAACGGTCTTCGATTTTCCTGTATCTTGAGCCGTTTAGGAGATACCGAAGGTTACATTTTTAAATTTTAAGTTAATTTTAATTGAAATTTGAATTTAAATGTTCATATCTCCGCTGCTACTGGGAATTGAGAGTCGAGATTTATGGTGAGAATAGGGTTGATACAGGACTATATTGGGGCAAAAGCGCGTTCCTGTATCTTGAGCCGTTTAGGAGATACCGAAGGTTACATTATTAAATTTTAAGTTAATTTTAATTGAAATTTGAATTTAAACGTTCATATCTCCGCTTCTACTGGGAATTGAGAGTCGAAATTTATCGTGAGAATAGGGTTGGTACAGGACTATATTGAGGCAAAAGCGCGTTCCTGTATCTTGAGCCGTTTAGGAGATACCGAAGGTTACATTTTTAAATTTTAAGTTAATTTTAATTGAAATTTGAATTTAAATGTTCATATCTCCGCTTCTACTGGGAATTGAGAGTCGAGATTTATGGTGAGAATAGGGTTGATACAGGACTATATTGAGGCAAAAGCGCGTTCCTGTATCTGGAGCCGTTTAGGAGATACCGAAGGTTACATTTTTTAATTTTAAGTTAATTTTAATTGAAATTTGAATTTAAGTGTTCATATCTCCGCTTCTACTGGGAATTGAGAGTCGAGATTTATGGTGAGAATAGGGTTGATACAGGACTATATTGAGGCAAAAGCGCGTTCCTGATTTATCTTCTCATTTTTTTATAAGACAAGAAAAATTGATACGAATCGTTCGTTTATCTGAGATAATTTATTGAATAAGATTAGGGGGGTATATACCTGAAAAATAAGAACAAATTGTCATTGCCCGTGGGCAATTTTTTGATACTGATTTATGGTATTAATCGATATTCGATTTTCGGTACTGATTTACTCTTTCATTTCTCTATAAGAAAACAAAAAATTAATACGAATCGTTCATTAATCCGCATTAATTTGATGAAAAAATTAGGTATTGATCGGTCTTCGGTTTTCTGTACTGATTTATTCTCTCATTCCTTTATAAGAAAAGAAAAATTGATACGTATCGTTCGTTTAACCGAGTTAATTTGTTGAGTAAATTAGAGGGGGGAGGGGTAAGTGCCTGAAAAATGAGAACAAATTGTCATTGCATTTGGACAATTTTCTGACACTGATTTATGGTATTAATCGATATTCGGTTTTCGGTATTGATTTACTCTTTCATTTCTCTATAAGAAAAAAAGAATTCATACGAATCGTTCATTTATCTGTGTTAATTTGATGAATAAATTAAATATTGATCTATCTTCAATTTTCGGTACTGACTGATTCTCTAATTTCTTTATAAGAGAATAAAAATTGATACGAATCGTTCTTTTATCCGACTCCTCCAGAGGAGGAGGAATAAGAGGATGAGAGAGAGAGAGAGAGAGAGAGAGAGAGAGAGAGAGATAGAGAGCGAGGGAGAGAGTGTGAAGGAATGGAATGAATGGAGGACAGCGAAAATCGGCGGTAGGAAATAAGAATTATAGGAGTAACAGCGGCATAGAGATATAAGAATAGATGATAAGCGAACAATTAATTATAAGAGATAAGCGAGCGAGTAGATGTATGATATTTGTAAAGTAGATTTAAGGAGGAGCGAGGGATGGGAGTGTGTGTGTGTGTGTGTGAAGGGGTAGGGGCGAGCGTAATAGCAAGGAGGAGAGATTATATTGGAGTTTGTAACCCCGCCAGGGGAATCAATGAAGTATTGCGATATCTAGAGAATATTCATGACATGCATATTGGATATTTGTTTTATATTTGGATATATATCAATGAAATTCACAAATTTTACAACGTTTTTCGTTCGAATAGTAAGTATTTCGTTCGAATAGTATCGTATAGTAAGTTTTTCTGCTGAACATAGTCAATGTGAACGAAGCATCTTAAAATAAACTAAAGATGATTTTATATACAAAGATTATATTAAATAAATAAATAAAAATTATACACACAGATACATACACACAAATGTTTTTCATTTCATTCCTGTTTCAGGAAATACTAAGTTAGAAAAATGGTCTTCTCACTCCCTTAGATGCGCGGGATTGTGCGAAGACCATTTCAATGATGCATCATTTCTGACGAGCACGAAGAAACGTTTAAAATCGGATGCAGTTCCAATTCATTTCGAGAGCGAACATGTTAATGAAAATGTAGAACAATTGAAGAAAAGGAGACATATAGAAGTGGAAAAACTCTCTGAAGAAGTAGAAATCGGAGAGAACACCATACCAACTGTTCTTACAAGTCACATTTCGGAAATTAATATTAATATAGACGAGCAATTAATAGAACGGTATCCACTTCGAACATATGACACATATAACATAATTAGTCTGCGAATAGTCGATAGACCTTTAAGAGAAAAGCTCGTACATCGAAAAGACGTGAGTTCGCCTTTGTCGCCGAATTGAAGTGCCGGATCTCGGACAGTCGCAGTCGAACGTGCTAGCAGGAGAGAGAGAGACAAGCTTTTCGAGCAAGAAGGATTGTGTTGTTTTTCACTGCTACTTGTAATATCTGGACGCGAGCGCGTTACAAGGATTATTGTGCGAACGCGCATTTAACGCATGCCATATTCAAGAGAACAATTCGTCCGGACTGCGAATAACGCCGCGTCATGTGGAGCGTGATCACGAGTCTCTCTCGGTCTTGTCTCTTCTGCCAGAACGTTTCAGAAATAGGCAAATCTTCCCGTTCGAATCTCGAACAACTACACTATCATGAAACAAAGCTTCCCAAATATTTAGAGAAGGAAACCCAGTCGACACAGAACATTATATTTATGTTAAAATTTCGCACTCAACAATATAAATGTAATATATAACACACATGGTGTTGAGTGTGAAATTTTAATATAAATGTAATGTAAGTAATGCTCTGTGTCGACTGGGAATTACCGCCTGCTCTTGTTACGAGTTACGAATGTAACGAGAGATAATAATTCGGATAATAATTAGAAGATGCAGTTCTTTACAAAAATATCTGTAGAAATGCATATGCACAGGAAAAGAATCATGTGCTATTGAACGAGGTGTAACTTTGTGCGCGATGCCGTGTTTCTCAAACCCGCAATTATAGGCGTATCACAGACACGAACCGCCGATAAATGGGCGTAGAACGGACACGCACCAGACTTTACCGGCAGCGTCTGCAAATGGGCGTAGTCAACGTAGTTACCAGCTACAAATGAGCGCAGATGGCGTTAAAATCAGTCATCAAAATGCATGTCGCCGGCGTGGCCGCTCTCAGACTTCTCTCTGTGACAGGTCGGATCTGGTTATTTTGCATCGAGCTCTGCTGATTCTGGGCGTGCGCCTTTTCTTCCGTGTTACTTGTCGGCGAAGTTGCGCGCTAAACAGATACGAGGAACGCGAAAACGCTCCCCCTGAGAATGCCGCTGCACCGGTACACTCATGCCATCCTGTGCAGGATCCCGCTATCGCTACGCACGCGGGGCGAAGTGACACTGGACGAAGCGAGGACACAGCACTTGGCTTTAGCGCAGCTCCTGCGTGAGCTTGACATTGACGTCGTGGAAATGCCGCCGGACGAAAACTCACCGCTCTGTGTCTTCGTCGAAGACGTCGCCGTTGTCTGTAATGGCATCGCCCTGATCGCTCGGCCGAATGAACCATCACGTCTCAAGGAGGTATGTCTGAAGTTATAGCGGAACCAATAATTGGAGTTGATGAGATGTGTCCACTAACATTGACAAATAGACAAATGCTAGAAACATGTTTAATTATAGTAACAATGATCAACCTGTAACAACTAAACGGATGATCATATTAAAAGATACATCATAGATATATAAAGAATAAATTGTATGACTTTCAGCTTGATACTATCAGAGCTGTCTTGAAAAAAGAATTAGAAATACCACTCATTGAAATAAGCGACAAGAATGCTCGCCTAGATGGTGGAGATGTCCTTTTCACTGGTGAGTCCCATTGTATTAAATATATGAAGATAACATGTTTTTCTTTCTGTTAAAGCTCTCTGTTGAAGCTTCATAGAACCTTGCTTCCTTAAACTCAAAAATAAGTGTTCTGTTACAGGTAGAGAATTTTTTGTTGGACTATCTCACTTTACAAACGAGGCAGGAGCACGAGCAGTTGCTGCAGCATTTCCAGAATATCCTTGTGTGCCTATCAAGGTTAGTAACTATATGCATTTTACAAATTGATGTATTCACATCATCTTATATCTGGGAATTAATAAAATCCTATTTTAGATGTAAAACAATCACGAATCTCTTGTAATTACTGAAAGTCATATACCGCATGTGTATCAATGTCATTAGATTGTCTTGAACAATTGATGTTAGAGTCATAATAACACATACTTGGTGTGCCACTTTGTGCATAAAAACAATTACTCCAGATATGTGTCAAAATTAAGATGAAAGATATTTTACCTCTAAATATTTCATACATCTTTCATTTGATATCATTGTACAAAACAGAAAATCTTCATATTGGATATTACTATGTAATGTAATTCATGTATTCATTTCTAAAAACATTTTACATCGCAGTTACATTATATGTATACAGCATGTTTTATTATTAGTGGGACCCATTTGGTGTGTTTTCACAGCACATTGTATGTTTATAGAACATATAAATAATGTACACCTGGGATTTGCTTTGAACCTTGATAGAGAGACTATCATGCTCACTCACCTTACTTTTCTAATGTTCATTTAAGGTGGGTGATGGTGGCGAAGAGGTGATAGTGGAGAGTCTTACCTCAGCCCCTCTTCAGGTTTGGGTGCACTAAATTGACCCTCTCAATATTTCATTGATTAAAGAAAGAAAGAGAGAGATAATAACTTCACAAGTTAGAAAGCGCAAACTTGCACGATTTTGAAGAATATTCTGTTCCTATGTAATAATGTGATATGTATTTCAAGATTTTACAAAACGCTTTTTTGGAATCAAGATAGGTTACACAAATTCTAGTTTAGCATTACCGTGCACTCTACAACAAAACTCCACAACAAACTTATTCACTCACTTTAGCATGCACACATGGTTTCATTTAATTTTAAACAAAATGGCATTCCTCTTATTTTGTTCTAATCATTGCCATGTACAAGCGTTGTGTAATTAAATGTAAGTTGTATATAAATGTATGCACCCTCTAGAGCACACTCGCACTTGTACTATATATTACACAGATCAGTATGCACGTTTTACTGATATATTAAAAAATCATCATGAGCATCATAATAATGTATTGATGAGAGTACAATATTAATTTAAATATTTCACATGAAGAATACATATTTAGTTTATATAAAAATAGATTCGTATATTAAAACAAGAGCTGCTCTCAGTTAAAATATTTATTCCGTTTGTGGAATCAAATGAATATAATAATAAATTTTTGTCTTACATTTTTTAAGTGATATGACAATGCTTTATAATATACAGAATATGATGGCAAAATGACTACGCATTATTTATTCACATTGCAATATTTGTTTAACGAGTATATTCTCGTATGTAATTTCTAAGATAATAACTCAGATATTCTTCTGTGTAGGTGGCCGAGTCCAAACGCTTGAAAACACTGGTTACGATGGCCGGCCCGGATGTTATATGTGTAGGAGCTGGAAAAGAATCTCAAGAAGTCCTCAAGGTTAGTCTTTATTACTATATATATATATATATTTTTTTTTTCTTTAAAAAGACTTATTGTTAAAAAATATGGGATTTTAAACTCTCCAAATTCTATTTTGAGAATGATCTTATATGGATGTAAACTGAAATGTTAATATAAAAATCAATTTACATCCATATAAGATCATTCTCAAAATAGAATTTGGAGAGTTTAAAATCCCATATTTTTTAATAATAATAGTTTTCTTAAAAAAAAGTAAACGATTCAATATCATTGTATAAGATATTTTAACTTTCATTTTTCTATTTCGAAATATAGAGGATCGAACGAGAGGCGACGTACAATTACCAAACATTGACTGTGCCCGAAGATGCAGCTGCCAACGTGCTGTACGTGAATGGCACACTCATTCATCGATCGGAAAACGAGATCCCGCAATCGAGTAAGGTGTTTGCCGAGAAAGTCGAATTCCCGACCAGATCGCTGCATATGTCCGAATTAGCGAAAGTCAGCTCAGGTTTGTCCTCATGTTGCTTATTGGTGCGTAGACCGCGACATATTCGCAGCATTTAAACAGTGATAAGATCTACACTTTGCGATTTATCACGCTAAAACATCGCGAAAACGAGACGTATATTCAAGTTCTCTTTCCGTTTTTGTTTACCGAATCCGTGGAAAAATACAGTGAACATGCAAAACATGACATAACGTTAACGTATAATGACATTACTCCGATAATTTGATAAATATTCTTTTTTTTTTGTAAGTGGTTATTTCGAAAAGTTTTTATATTATTACCTTTAAAGAGAGAAAAAGATATAATATTTGAAGAGATTAATATATATAAATATATATATTACGGATATATATATAATCTTTTTATATATGCTTAGATTAGAAGTAATATATATTTTCAGATTTTATGTCAGATTTATTTATATCTATGCTTTTGCAAAGACGAGCTCTATGCTTGTCATTTATTTAAATCTTTTATTCTTTTATATACGTGACTTTCATTTCCGGCGGCAGCTGTGGATTTGTTCAAATTATTTCCTACCGGAATTTTCTCGCAGTTTTCTTTTCCTATTAATTGTTTAAATATCTCAAGCAGCTATTTTTTTCTGCGATATCCTTCTGCGAGAAAAATATATTATAATATAAGGCTATATTTACATCCCCCACTCTTCTCGACGTGATTGAACTTTACAAATAAGGCACATACCATGATATGGCACAAATTCAATTTTATATAAATATAAATATATACATATATATATTTAAGGGGTTGGAATATTGATTTGCGAACAATGCAAAACTGAATCAAAATTAACTTGTAATTCAAACTATATTGTTAATAATGCACCAATATTTCTCTACAATAATAGGTCGTTTGTAGCTTGCAAAACTCACACAATTAGAAAGAGATATGTGAATCGTATACTATCAGTATTCCGACTCCCGGCAATGCATCTACTGCAACTAGTCTGAAACGTGTTCACGAAACATTCAAATAAATATCTCTCTATCACCTAATAATGTATTGCAACGTTACTCATATATAAGAGCACTGATAGTTGTTATTGTGGTGTCACATCGTTATAACGAAGTTCCGCAATTAAAAGTTTAAGCAGAAATCGAGATGCGAAATTTCTGTATGAAAATTTAATATACATACGAGACGCTGTGTAACACGCTTAGACTGTTCTTAGATCACGATACGTGCGACCAAGAGTATCGTAGTGATCGAAAAATATATAATATAGAATTACGATCCATGTTAACGCTCAAAGCGTTGCTATAATGATTTTTAGTATTTTATACAACAATAACAATGTAGCAATCTCGTAGCAATGCTCTTTCTCTGTAGTGCTGTTACAACTTCTGTACGTGTTCGATATGCGTTTTAAGCGTCAGCATTTAGTTTTTATACTATTTTTCACGATGAAAAGTAATGTGACGGTTGAAACCGCTTTTGTAACAAGTATTGTATTAAGATTATAAGATTAATGAAAAACAGACAAATCTTTTAATTCTGTTAGTTTTAGCGCAGTATTGATAGGATACATCGGACATAGGTTCACTTTATACTCGAAGTCGAACTTACATATAAATTCATATAGAAATATACAACTTTTTTAATAAAAGATGTTTGTGTAGCCTTCTTGAGTGTATAGACTATAGACTTGTAACAAAGCATCACGATCTTCTGAAATTAATAACAAAATTGTTCCCCTTAGAACATCCTTTTCGTATGTCCTCACGTATAAAATACGGTGGTTTAAGATAAGACACGAATAAGGGAAAATTGCATGACGAACGAATGAAATTAATGCTATGGATTGCAAATGTAATTGTCATTTACAGCTCTCATTCTCTCTTTCTCGCTTATTTCATCGTTTATTTTAAGTATTTATAAAGCATAGATCAAGTATAATTGGTACGGTTTCCCCGTCGTAGAGATTCACGTCAAAGTTCCTTTAAAATCGAATAACATCCTACTACTTAAATGTTACAAAAATAATACAGTCTTCTGCTGTAATGAGTCCGAATATTTTTCCGATATGAAGATTGCTTATCATAGGCACACATTTTTCAATAGCGATTCACTCACAAACTCAGCATTTACACGCGCATAATCGAAGGCAAGTTCGTCAATAGCATTGAAGATATATCACCGAATCTTTCGTTCTACGATAGTCGAATCAGTTTTCCACGTACATAGTTGATTAAATCTTTTTCATTTTGCTTGTAATACCGCGGCACCGTTGTCGCCAGCCGCGGACCAATATCTTTGCGCGTTTCCTTTTCTTTCTTCCAACTTTGTCAATCCACTTCTCACATCATTATGAATAAAACGTTAAAACCGACGTGTGGTTACCCCGCACCAATAGGAATGGCGGCATATCGCGTGTCAGTGTCTCTAACCACGCCATGTAAAGAGGCGCTGATACAGCACCTTTCCTTGGCATCGGTAGCGTCCTATTAACACGTTAATAACATTAATTAAGAACAATCCCCGCGTATACAATAAGACATGTGATGTAAGTGCATACTCACATGACGACCAAATTGGCCTCCATAGAATTCTCCAGCAACAGCTCTCGCAGGCGCAGGTGTCTGTTGGTCTTCTCCTTCATCGCCATGAGTTCCGAATCTTTGATGATGTCTATAATGAAAAAAAAAAATTTTTAATTAGCATGTGACACATATAGACAGTGTTTTATCAACAATCATATGAAACAGATAGAAACAGCGGACATATTTTATCGACACAGCTACATTATTACCATATAAAAGCCAAATTTGTCGAGAAAAATCTCATACCATCCTCAGAATTTTTTGAACCCATCGACTGCTGGAAGTCGGCTATCAAGGAGTCGAAGAACGTCTTTGTGCTGGTTTGCGCCGGCCTGGAGACATCCGGTATCACCTTGAGAGCGGAATAGTCTATCCTGAATTTCGACAGGAGACTCGCCATACTGCAGGAATGCAAGCAAACGTTAATCACCGACGTTAATAAGTGACGACACTCTTAAATACGGTGGCAGTTATCACCGGAACAGCTTACTTCCTCTGCTCGTATTCCAACTCGGAGTTCTTGTTGGCGAGAGCGAAGACTCTCAGTTTGCAGTTAGACCAATTGCGTCTCGTGCTGATGATGTAAGGCAACAAAAGCGTCAACCCGCCATCGTCGTACAGCCACCATACGTCGATAGTGCCTTTCTTGTGCTTCCGTTGGAACTTGGTTACTACGTTAAGTATGTCCTTGGCGATTGGCGCTATGTTCGGACGAGTTTCGCGTTGTTCTTCGGACGACGCATTGGGATATTCGTTGATCGTCTTCGAACGCCTCGGCGCAGGACTACCGGGTATCGAGATATCCGACGTGCTACTAGCTGCAACGATCGTCAGTCGTTAGATACGGTTCTCCGCAGAAGAAGAGAAGAAAGACTAGCATGAAGAAGGAAAGAAACTTTTCTGCTTTGACGAACCTTGGCTAAGCTGCGAGAAGCTTTGATTGCCCGGTATCGATGTAGGCGCAAGTCTCTTCGGATCTTCGACGTCTATAACAGTCGCATTGCTATCCAGGCCGTCTTGAATCCGCAGAAGCGCTACCGCTATGTGCATGTCCAAAGCTTTGCTACGAGAAAAAGAGAAATATTTATGAAAGGCACCGTTTTGGTAAAACTACAAACTGAAACTACTTTGCAACAGAAGACTGTAGATTCAAGTACGGTGTAAAACTGCATAAAAGAGACTTACTGCATAACGTTGAAGTACATATTCAGGTTCTCCCGGGAACAGGAAGCCCAGTTTTGCTTGTAACCCATCAGCAAGATATTGGGCCTCATTTTACCCAGCCCGGCGGCTTGCAGGAGAGAAGTAGCACCGTCTTGGAAACTCGCACCATCCACTAACGAATAGAACGCCTTGATTTTGTTCGCTCTGAACCAGGAGGTGCAGTTCGCCACCATGCTGCTACGCGTCTTATACGATATAGGTGTCTAAAACGCAGAAAATAAAAATCAGGAAATCGGGATATAAATTCTTCGTGAAGCTGCACAGAAAAAAATGTCATTCTACTGCAAGAAAAGAGCGATTACTCAATTTACTTTTCTTCTTTTATGTAATAGTTATTTTCAGCGAGGAATATTTTCTTGATGATAGTCTTAAGACGTTCGTCACAAATTTTAGAAAATCTCATTATTTTTATATATTCCAAAGAAAAATGTATTTTTTTTTTCACACAAATATTACAAAATTTATAATCCGTGTGGAAAAAAAATAAACCGAACTTTTCTTTTTATTTAATATTCCTGAAATACTAAACTTACTAAGATTCAGAATATATTTTGACTATATTTGATGAACTTATGATAGATTTGCGGACATATAAACTTATAAAATACTCGAAACAAATGTTTACTTGAATGCGGTATGTACAACGTGGAAACGTGATAAAGAAAGAAATGATGATACCTCGATGATGTGACCGCAAATAAATAGACTCTGATGCTTAGTGATGTGATGAGCGAAGTCGACGAGCGACGACCTCGCGTTGGGTGCACCAGTGAGCACCAGGAGCTGCGGCCTGTAATTTTTCACGTGCTCCTCCACTCGATCGAGTTGCTGCACCGCAGTCAACGCGTTGTTGTACGTCTGGGCTTGCGTGGTCGAGCCCCAATTTACATCTGTACGATATTTTGACAAAGGAGAAGAATGAGCTCAGCTCTTAATGCCGTAAATCAAGATAAATATATGGACAAATATTCTTATAAAAATTACCGGGCTTCCTGTATTGGACTATTAAATACAGCGCTAAAACTACGCATAACGTTATCAAAGCCGTCCACCATGAGATCAGGAACATCACAGAAACACAGAGGATAGCACCAGCGAGACTGAGCCACATGTTATAATACTAAAACGAAGTGGCAATTGTTACAGAATGGAGTCACAACGCGAGAATATAACAATGACAGGAGAAACGTAATGTACCTTGAAAGTCGGTCGCCATCCGATCGGCTTAGCCAAAGAAGCATGAAAGGTACTAAAATTGATGAGAGTGTATGCAGCCAAGAAGAAGTTGGAGATGAGCGGTGCGATCGCGTCCAATTCGCCTGAGAAAAGAATCGATTTCTTTTTTATAACTCTGAAAGGAAGAATCTCCCTTGATTTCTTCCCAGATAAAATCGGTTTGTCACTTACCGATCAGAATGAAACCAACGGCGATAACGAAAGTGAGGAGATAACCGCGAATCGGCTCTTTATCTTTCTCGCCGCTAAACCACGCGATTCCCGGATACAGCTTGTCGAGACACAGCGCTTGGAACACCTTCGGCGCCGAGACCAGTGACGCTAAAGCACTTGAGAGTGTTGCAGCGAAGCAGCCGGCATAGATGAACGGGCCGAAGCCGGAAACCAATTGGATTACCTTGAATGACAACGTTATTCGTCTATCTCAATTTTCATCCTCAATATATAGAAAAAAAATGTTCTACCGCTGGAGAAAGATATTGCTCAATTTGCTTTCCATCTTTTAAAGGTTACTTTCAACAAGAATATCTTTTTGATAATAGTCTTAAAATATATTTTTCACAAATTTTAGAACAGATTGGTAACAGATTAGCTTCGCTTGACTGATGTATTAATTAATAATTGCGCAAGTACCTCGGCGCTGTTTTGGCTGCCGTACTGACACCCCGCGGTACAGTTGAAATCCGTCCCATATATGCTCCAGGTGCGATTGGTAGTCTGGTCGGCGAGAACCGTGCTGTTCTCGACCGCAGTGTCATTGTCTACGCTGAACAGGGCCATAAGAGAGCTGTTAAACGTCGTCCACAAGTCATTAACGTCACCAGATGCATCTCGCATCACGGTAGCTCCGGCCATAATTGCCATTATCAGATATGACAGTGATGTCAAGAGAATCGCCAGCAACGTGCCCTTCGGTATCGCCGTTTGCGGATCCTGTCGAGTCCAAAGTAATATTTAGAAACGGAAGCTTTCACACTCGCATCGCGGTATTCCCGCGAAGTCTGAGTGTTACGTCGCAATCATGATAATGATCAAGAGATTCAAGCGCAAGAGTCTCGTTATCAGACATCTAACGAGAAAATTTATATAGGAAGTTTCAATCAAGCGTGCAAAATGGAGAGGAGTAATCAATCGGGCAGTAATTGCTCCCCGCGATGAATCACATGATATGTCAAGAAATATATATATATATATAGAGAGAGAGAGAAAGAGAGAGAGAGAGAGAGAGAGAGAGAGAGAGAGAGAGAGAGCGAGAGAGAGAGAGAGAGAGAGAGCGAGAGAGAGAGAGAGAGAGAGAGAGAATTAACGATATTTAAATATATAAATATCTCCCATAGACGAAAGCACTAAATCACCTTCAAGTCACCGGATATATTCGCACCTGCCAGGATCCCTGTCGCCGCTGGGAAGAAGATAGCCAAGACTGAAAAAAAATTATGTTTCACGCCGTCTTTGTACCTGTAGTCCGCATAAAAATTCTCCTTGAACAATTCCCCTGCAAATAGCAAAGCGACATGATTAATATACTTAAATATCTCACATTTACCGTAGAAACCGAACAGTTGGTGTGTGGTGCATCCGAGTATCGGGGACGTTACCGTTGTATCCGATGAAACCTTTAGCCCTCTCCTCCTCGCTTTTGGGACCCACAAAAGTGCCAATCATGAAGTCGGCAATAGCCACGAGAAGAATTATTAGCAAGCCTATCTGGGCTTTTGCCTCCCACTCCAGGCCCACTATCACTATCAGCAAGAGCACGACGATCGTTATGCAACCTGCGGAAGGTCCAAAGCAATATATTATTCGCCTTTGCAAATTTTAACATAGAAATTACTGGGGTGTCCGATAAGTTTTACAAGAATCTTTAGAAAAAATGTAAAGTCGATACTTTTACAATTAAGCATAACTATTTTTTTTTCTTTTTTTCATTCATCATCGGGAAAAAACGATCGATATATTACTGAATAAATTTATGTTTCATAATTAAAATATTAGCTTTGAGAATTTTCCATGAGAAAAAATCCCTGTGAACTTATCGAACAAGCTGACACAATTCCTACATAATTATAATAGCTTTATTCAACAAACTGTGATGCTTCTATCGTCGCAAATAGATGTGCAAATAATTTCTATCCGCAACATTGGCAAGAATTGAAAGTTTTTAAATGAAAATAATACAAACTTATCGTAAATAAATGTACAAGTAAAATTCTATACGCAGTATTAGAAGAAAACAAGATACAGTAAGATAAAAATCACACGAACCTATGATCCTAATGTCGGTAGTGTGACAGTCAACTATACAGAGACCGTAGGACTTGAGGCAGTCCACCATGCTCTCGCAAAAGCCGACCACATACATGGAGCAGGCAACGGCATTCGCTAAGGAGAAGATGAGACCTATGGAACCGCCGAACTCGGGTCCCAATGATCTGGAAATCATGTAATATGTCCCACCTGTGAAAAGAAAGAACGGGACGATGTAATCGATCACGCTAGTCGCCGTCGCAGTGACGCAATAATTCATCGGGACGATTCATCTTATGTATAAACAATTGTTCGCTTATGAAGATATTAATTAGCCGGGAACGCGCGTCATATTGTCGGAGAAATTGATAAGAAAGCGAACCGTATTCAGCTTTCTTCTCTGACTCGAACGTGTGTATTTTTGGAAACTTGTCTCCAAGAATACGATGTATGATACGATAATTCTGATTATTTATACATTACTGAGCGCCATGCTTTGTACCTCCTTTGATGAGACCATTCGTGCTGATAGCCGACATCGACATGGACGTGATCGTCGTGACTACCGTCGTCGTGAGGATCAATAAAATAGCTTGGCCTGCAATGTCGACATTAATCTCAAGAATTTCATTAAGCTGAGAGAAAGAAGGAGAGAGAGAGAGAGAGAGAGAGAGAGAGAGGAGATGATGGCTCAACAACGATGGCCCACTTACCGACCCCGGTTTGCGCTACGACCCAGGAGAGTCGTAAAAAGAGCATCACACCCCAAATGTTGAGGAGACATCGCATCAGCACTCCTTGGATCCATCCAAACTTTACCCCAGCTGCCGTGGGTTTCACATGTGGGATGGTCAAGGTGTGCGAGCCTGAGCCCTAGAGATAAATCGTTCGTAAGATAAACTCAGTAGTCGAAAAGTAATTTTATTTATTGTGAACAACATCTGTGTGCGCATTACACAGCTTCCTTCCTCATAAAAAAAAAATTATTCGCAAGTAGGAGGAGTAAAGGAAATAGAAAAATAAAAGAGAGAGAATCTTATTATTAATATTATATTATCATTTTATATATATATATATATATATATATATCATAATTGTGGTTGTTGTTACACTAAGGAAAAAAAATATCTAAAAGATATTTACTCGGTGAGTATTAATAATATACAGGGTGCACGATTTATCTGAAGACATTGAAATATCTCGAGAACTATGCGTTGGATAAAGAAAAGTGGTTAATGAAAGTTGTTAGTCTCGAAGGGGGACATCCAATGATACCAAACTCGACCTCCCACCCCACCCCCTGGGGGTGGGGGTTGGGGCCAACTTTGAAATCTTAAATGGAAATCCCCATTTTTTATTGCAGATACGGATTCTACGCCACAAAATACGTAAATTTTGTCCGAAACTTTTTTTTTGATTCGTGATAGATGGCGCTGTAATCGCAAAAAATTATATTTTCCGCAATTCTCCAGAAATGATCATTGGATTGAGAAATAAAAAATACCTGTTCAATATTTTTAAAGAACATAATAAAAGTTATTCCCCCCCCATCCTCTCGGGGTAGGGTGGGTGATAACGTTCAAATCTCAAATGGGGACCCACATTTGGGGACCGCATTGGGACCGCATTGCACTGCCTTTTATAATAAGCCGTAGTTCGCCATACACCCACAGTGGCGCGTCGAGCAGTTCCCTCTTCGATTCAGGTTCCTATTTGAGATTTGAACATTACCACCCACCCTACCCCGAGAGGATGGGGGGGGGATAACTTTTATGTTCTTTAAAAATATTGAACAGGTATTTTTTATTTCTCAATCCAATGATCATTTCTGGAGAATTGCGGAAAATATAATTTTTTGCGATTACAGCGCCATCTATCACGAATCAGAAAAAAAGTTTCGGACAAAATTTACGTATTTTGTGGCGTAGAATCCGTATCTGCAATAAAAAATGGGGGTTTTCATTTAAGATTTCAAAGTTGCCCCCAACCCCCACCCCCAGGGGGTGGGGTGGGAGGTCGAGTTTGGTATCATTGGATGTCCCCCTTCGAGACTAACAACTTTCATTAACCACTTTTTTTTATCCAATGCATAGTTCTCGAGATATTTCAATGTCTTCAGATAAATCGTGCACCCTGTATATTTACTTGTACTAATACACATACTGCTAAGACGATATTTTTCACGAAAGCAATTATTTATTCTATCCAAATAAAAGAATCTGGATTTAAGTTGTTGGCATATCCCCGCCGAATAAATATATTATAAATACGTTCTCCCTTGACGAAACTCTAATATAAAAAAAATTAGATATAAAAAAGATATTTGTAAATTATAAATATAAATTAAAATTGAAAGTACTTAGAAAACAGCGACAACTAAATGTTGTTATTATATCTCAGCAAAGCGTGCAAATGAATTGTCAAAATCGATCAAATATATATATTATGTTATTATGTCATTACGTCATTATTACTGAAGGGGGCCCGGCAAACGGTCGAGACGTTTAATTGTTAAGCGTACGTGACAATAGCCACTTGAAGTTGAGCAAACTTAGCCGTAAAATCGGCTGTGCGTTTCTTCCAGGTCAAATGCACCCGCAATTGCATCGTTAACGAAGATAACGGCCTACCAAATGAGTCGGTATCTGCGGCATGTGCCAACTTCGCAAGACTTTCCCGAAGCGCTGCCGAGAAGCCGTAATGCGATCGCGAGATGCGGCTACTGCTTTTCCATGCACATCGCGTATCACGTAATCGTCCGCATAAAGGATCCGGCCGGAGGCGGCATGTGCGTAATTATGCAAGGAATTATGCCAGCGCGCCGGCGTGATGTCTTCATCAATGCGACGCGGGTAATTGACGCGGTGAGAGGCTTCAAGGCCGCGACTCTAAACGAATCCGAACGATTTCTTCCAGATGGCCAGACGCGTTTATTAGATTAGCGCGTCGGCAAGAGAGAAAGCAAGAGAGACAGAGAATACGATGCTGCTTTCACGATGTTCTTTCGAGGGCCGAGGTCGATCGGTCGAAAGAACCGAGCGAGCGAGTGAGCGAACCTTCTTGGACGTCTAAACTAAATCGGACTAAATCGGAATTTAGAGACGATTATCGAAGGAGGCATTGAAGGTGATTCTGGTCTGCAGGAAGGGTCGCCAATCGGCCAATGAAGACTAACGATTTACGTAACCGACGCCTCGCGCGGCCTCATGCACCGCGCGCCGCTCGATGTTGAGGAACTCTTCGCGAATAATTGCATGTGCGAGAGACGACCTCGCGGACACGCGAGGTCGCTTACTCGAAAGCTCGTCGGAAACGCGCTTGCGACGTCGCTTTTGAAAGGAAAGAAAAAACAGATGCGAATTTTCCGGCAACAGCTCGGGAGATGCTGACGTGTCGACGATCGACGACTTCCGGCTGCCGGATGAGACTGCCACGCTGAAAGACGTTCGTGGAAGTCTCAGAGATGAATAATCGAATAATTAGATTGGAGCCGTTAAAGACGTCAACGCTGACGACTTGAAGTAAACATGGCGTTCTCGAGGAATTCATGATAATCCATTGTCGGCCGGACAAATAATTAATCAGAAAGATCAAGCGCCATCAATTGCCTCCAATTGGGTTTTGATTGGCTCCGCGGGAAAGGCATTTCGACGTATTCCGACATTCGCGTCCACCTTGATGAACCGTCCTCTTGGACGGTTGATTATCTTATCTCATTATTTCCCGTTACTTCCGCCAATATCTCGTCTTCGACTCCGGATTGTGCGCGAGGCTACGCGGCTCAAAGCCGGAGACACGCTCGAGAGACACGCCTCGTCTGAAAAGCACGGATTCTCCCGATCAACACGTACGTTCGTGCGAAAAGATATACGTATGGAAAGAATTTCAGTTTGCGTAATTGATCGGAGACTCGAAAACTCAGTGATGAGAGAAAATATCTCCGTTATAAAACATTCGCGGCTGCGTTAACAGGCTTCACCTGTTCCTGAAGAATTTCAGGCAGGTGTGTGCGTGCGCACGCGTATATTTTTTACTAAATATATATATTGTTATATACATTTTTTATCGTGTGCAGGGAAATATTAATTAATCAATGCTAACACGAAATAAGTCCGTGAACTTATATTATGGAATACTCTTAACCGAACGCAGGATCGACAGTCAGGGATTAAAATCCTTGAAACTGTTGAATATGTTCAGTCGCGCCTCGGCGAGTTTCGCAACGCATTCCGTATACAATGAGAAAATGTATTTCTCGAGCATCATTAGAAAGACAAATCTTCCCGCTTGATGCGAGATGCGTTACGAAACTCAGCGAGGAGCAAGCAGTGCCAAATAACCTTGAATCATCCGACACGGATGAGCTTTCTGCAGGTTCGCGGGCGGCGGGAAAAATCCAGCTGCACGAGCCGAGATCGTCTTTACGCGTGTGAGGCACAATTGAATCCGAAATTCACTCGTGCACGTGAATCGCAAACGAGGACTCACGTATCTAACACGCGCGTCACGCACACGAAGAACGTAAGTGGGTTACGATGGTGTGCGACACCGAGGAGAAGAATAAAGGCACTCTCTCAATAGAGGTGAGTCTCCTCTCTCACGCGTTCTCTCGTGCACGCATCTCGTACTCGCACGACACGACGGTCAAATAATCTATGCGACACGCTTAACTGTATCGTCGTCTGCCTCGCGATGTATTTGGGGCACGCGTTTTGTTGGGCCAGTCAACACCGTCGGCTTCGCGATGTGATGTAAATGTTGACTCGCGATTGAATCGGCCGTTCGTAGCGGCAGGTCGCTGAAAAGTTCATTAACTCAAGTTGCCTTGGCACTTTCCTCTGGTAGGGCTTCAGGATTCGCCCTGACCTGACGCTGTCCGCGGATAAATATTCGAGTGGTAGATAAACGTGACGCTTCAAATTCGCTTCAAATTACTTGAGGACTCAGCTTTTCCGCAAGATCCACCTCGGCAGAACCTGGATCGGTGCGCGCAGCGAAATCGGTCAGAGATACGTTCGCGTTAACGGACAGCTCTTCGGAATTTACCAGTCGGTAAATCAGCGTTTTTGAACAACAATTTGACGACCTAACCGATAAACGCGCAGGACTTGATAGATGCGATATATTATATTTCAAATTCTCAACATTCTCGCTTTTCCGATATTTCTCTCATCGGATTGAAATTATCACGTCCGCGACATCTGGCAAAGGTTCTTATCAGCCAGTCTTTTTTCTTTACTTTCCAATTCTTTACAAAATCTTCATTTCGAATATATAACTTGGATTATCCGAGTTTTAACTTCTCGGATCGAAACTTATCACGAATGTCCGGATGATCAGATACCCGAATACTTGGAAGATTCAAGTTTAAATTTGCAAAGGACGAAAATATACATGGTAACTCGGTTTACCTGCGTCTCAAAATTGTTGAAGAATTTATTCAGGGGTTTTAGCGAGGGTCTTATGTTGCAAATTATTTGAAGGATTTTTTCAGCATTAACGATAAGATTAAACGAGGCTGGCGCGACATGCACGCAGCATGCACGTCCGGCTCGCGAAAACGCACCGTCCGTCGGACATTATTCGCCACGCGAGCTAAGCGAGGAGGAAAAACGGAGGGGAACGGAAAAATTTTCCACGCAAGGTGGATCGGCTCATCGATCGACGCGCCGCGCTGATCATTTCGAAATGTATCATCAGCGGCGACACCGCGACGTCACGATCACACATGCGAATTACAGCCGTCGCAACCTTCCGCTGTTTGCACATTCGCTGGCGTAATTATACGCGCGCACCCGGAAATCCTTTATAATGACGAATGTCACGGGATTCGATTAAGGAGCTGTCTCTCGCGCGTGCAAAGCAAGCAATAATGTTTGACGCCGTTAAGCGGCTGT